CCCGCACTCCAGATTGGCTCATTTCTTCTGGGGTTTTCTTATTGTGACGACAGAGAAACCGTATTCAGATGCTCATTTATTGGGTGTCATATTGTAACAACAGGGAACGTGTTTTTATTTTTAACTATGCTACAAAAGAGAAAGAATATCAAAACACTCCGCAATCTGACTTACACTTTCGTACAAATCAGATAGCCTCCTGTTTCGATGCTCTTTCTATTACTTACTTACAACGCAGGCGGCGTCGGATTCGATTTAACCGTGTGCATGTATAGTAAGTTTGAGAAGTAAATATGTGGGCTCCTGTCTCACTAGGCGTTTCCAGTAAAACATTAAAACCTAAAGCGAAATTCAGTCATTAACCTACCGACAACAGCAAACGACCATTTTTTCAGCCATACTCCATCGACGCTGTGATGGGCGAAAGCTATGGCCAGTGTGATTGAGATTTGCGGGCATTGTTCTGGCTTCCAAAACTTTAATAGCCGCCTTTTATATAGTAAAATGAGGTATATCGTTAAATCGGGATATAATTTATTGATGATGATTAACCATTACGAGCATGTCTATATATACAATATATACACTGTATATAAGACACCGGTGTCAGATTCCTGGCACACTTATTGGTAAGGTTTCCTTATGGCATTGACTTAATCCTACCCGTCCTGACGTATTATTTAATGAGATCTAGTATGGAAGTAATTGAATTTCAGTTTTCACAATTGCGTAGATCTATGTTCTATATCGATAAATCTTGAAACATACTTTAGTTGTTGATAAGCTCCGCCTTTATAGCATGCTACATGTAACATCACTTGTGTATATTAAGACGACTCCTGTTGTCTCCTAGTTAAAATGATACAGTAGTATGTTTTACCTTTACATCTCATTTGAGATATAATATTCACGATACTATACTTGTCACTAAATCAAAACATACAATAATCTAAACAGAAATTCATAAAATAGTATTTTATCCAGCTCTTCTCAATCAAAGTATGCAGTGCACAGCTGGTCATTCCTTCGCAGCCATTTTACGAGTGCGTAAAACCTCGCGTGTGCACCTTCGATAGAGTTTCTGTAAGTTTCGTGTTATGTACGCAGTAATTAAGATGTGATTTAATTTTATATGTGTCGCCTGTCTACTGAGCTTTATAGCGCAATAGGGTAACCGTAACCTACGTATTTATAATTTCTAAATGTCCTACTAGTTGTATGATCGAAACCGCGTAAGACCATGTTTTTTCTTATTATATTTTCAACATTATCAAAGCTATGGTTGTTTTTATGTTGTTTGCTTTGTTTTTATATGTTTTGCAATTATTTTGGTAATTAAAGTCTATACTAGTCTAAAGAAGTAATATTTAAAATTCATTCGGTATAAAATCATTTCAAATGCCATCTAACTAAAAAAATTATAAATGTTACAAAACAACAATTTTTCACCAAAATTAGGTGAAAGACCACATGTTGACATGGAAAAACTAGATTTTGGGTGATTCCGAGGTTTTTAATCATTTTTTGTTAACCCTTTACCTCATATATACGCGAAACAACGCACTTTCGACCCCCCCCCCCTTTAGGCCTGAAATTGTAAAAAAAAAAATGTCCTATTTGGGCCCCAAACACATGTTTTCGTTTGAGAAAAGTGAGCACTTTTTCGGCGCCGCCCCCCATCCAAAAGATACATCAGGGGGTTGCCAGAAGGGGGATGTGCCCCCTTCTGTTGGGGGGGGGGGGGTTGGAAGGGGGCGGAGTCACCCTGATTGCCAAGAAAACTTTGGACTTGTGAGAGGCTAAAAATGACTCCAGGTCGATCATAAGGTAACGTGTAACCAACGCTGAAAAGCCTTTGACTCTATCTCAATCCCTTAAGAAGTTGCAGCACTTTGAAATACATTTTGATGGAAAAAATCGAGGCAAAATAGTGATTTTTTGCAATTTTGAGATGTCCCCTCGTTGCCATGGTAACAGGAAATTTAAGACTGAGCATGTCGTTACAAAGGCAATTGTCCAGTCAACATTTGTGCCCAGTTTGATTAGTACTGAAGCATTTTTCATAGTTTCATAGCAGTTTGAACTTTAACAGGGGCTTTTCAGTGAAAACGGTCATTTTTCACATTATGCTCATGAAGGAAAGGGTTAATGCAGTAAAACAGTATACAAATCGGAACAAAAGTATTTCAAAGTATCTTAATATCCTTGTTGATATTTTTGCAAATACTTGACCATTTACATTAAAATAAACTGCAAAAAAAAAGAAAGAAAAAAGTAAGTTTAAAAGAATGGTAACACAGTAATAACTGAACAACAGACCTTTCATATATTAGGCAATCACTTAACTTACTGTACTATTACGGATGTAACCAGGGCTGGGAATCAAAACTGCGTCGTATCCTACAAAATGTAAACAAACGCCGCCATCTTGGAACGAAAATGTTTGTTTTTGTTTATAACTCTTTTTGTTGGAAATGACTGAAAACCAGATATATGTATTAACACGCTACACTATTTTCCGCCTCGTTCGGTATATGTTGCTTGCACAACTATTTTGTAAAACAAAAGTTATAGCGAACTTGCAACTCGAAGCGGAGCAGAATTTTTATGAAATTGTGTGGATACGACGCAGTTCATATTGCTTTATCTACCGTTTTTTCCTTAAAATCAATTATATACTCGTTTTCAGAGTTCATCATAAACTTCAAAACATAATTTTGCATCATTTACAAAACTTTCATTAAAAAGAGATGTTTCTTTTCCAAGAAAATAATGATTTTTACGAAATGATACGACGCAGTTGAAAATAAAATATGATACGACGCAGTTGTATTTTCATTGCAGGCTGCATATAGGTTAATCTATTTAAATTATGTGTTAGGTTTGCTAATAACGTCCAACAACATTTCTTGTTTACAACTTAAGTCAAAAACAGAGGTCACTCATTGGTTCCATAAAATTGGAAATGTAATACAATTCTATTAAGACTTCGTTTTCCGGTCGCATTTTAGTACCTATCATAAGCATCTACAAATTCCGAAAAACTGTATCAAATGCAATATACATTGAAACACGTGATCGCACACCCATATGACAACGTGTTCCAGTGTTGCTTTAGCATGCTTCCAAAATTGTTCCCGTGAGTTCGAAATGGGAGTGATTACTATTTTTGATACAAAATTCAATATTCCAGTGTAACCTCTCCTAAACCCTGTATTTGTCAGGAATGACTTTTTTTTTTTTAAAAAAAGAGAAAAATTTACACATTTTGAAAAGGTCTCTTGCTATCGGAAGAGGGCTATGCGCAAATTGCATGCATACCTTTGTTAATTGTAATTAGCAATAATTTCCGTCAATTCCCTTATTACTTATATGTCTTTTACGTGCCGATTTTATTGTATTCATTTTTTTAATAATCGGTGAGAACAGATGAGCTTAATTATTTGAAACTGAACATTAAATTTTTAAAATTATATTATAAATGGTTAAGCTACAATATATTTTTGCAAGTAGGTTTTGCGTTCCGTTTAGCCATTTTATGTTCAGCGCCGCGGAACTTTACCGCGGATTTTGTCGCATTGCATTTCTTTATCGCCGATGAGGAAAGGTCTACGGAATGTATTTTTTATTTTTGTACTTAAGTATCATTCTTTTCCATAAAAAAACTTTAAATTTTCAAAATCAAGTTACATATGATACAACTACAAATTATTTTGTAAAGAAGGTGTCCGTTTTGCATTTTACGCTGTGAACCGATAAATTTGATAAAGATATAGGCAGACATGATCTTTCAACAGTATTGAAGAAGTTTTCACAATATTGAACAGAAAATTTAGGTCAGATTATCGCAAACTAGAGACATGGCATCTTAACATATCTTCATACTAAAGTGTGTTTTTTATTTGATAATGAATTGCCTGAAAACTTAAACAAAAGTTTTCAGAAAATGACTTCACAGAAGATAACCCCCTGTTTACATTGAAAATTTATCTGCTAGTCATACCGAAATAAGAAATTTAAATGTTATTTTCTATAATTAATTCAAATATTTATAATCCTAAAACTTCACGCCAGAAGTTTATGAAAAAAGCTGCTTATTTGTACAGCTGACGTTAACAAATTTTGTTGAAAAAAAAAATCAGACAGGTGTGTCCGACCGAGGCCGAGCTGTTTATGTTTACTGAATTCAAATCACTTGAACTGAACTGCTATGCATTCGAAAACCACCAGGGACTTTTTATTCTTTCGTGTGGAAAACCTATCACGCTTGTTTCAAAATGTCGATGGTTCTCTGCAGCTGCAACATTTTGCATGAAGTAATGCACACAGGCGGACATGGCGCACCTGAGGTCCTCGCCCCTAGTAAAGCTATTGTGTAGAGTGAAAGTTTGAAAACAAACCAAAGAAAAACAGTCATAACCCAGAACATGCAGAACCATAGTTAACTTAGAGCGTAGCTAGCCAAAATGAATTCAATTTAATAGATTTCTACATTCTTTTTTGCGAAAAAATTAGGGATAATATTGAACATACAGGAAAATATAAGAATTTTTTTCAGATATTATGATCAATTAGGTAACATGTTCATGTTTAACAAAAGTAGCTTCCGCACTGTAAACTTTCAAATTAAATGTTATATTGGACATGCCACAATGTATTTTAAACAATCAAAAGCAACAGAACATTCTATACCCCGCAAATGATCTGGGTTTTTTTATCTAGCGCAAGTGATTATTCCATAAAATAGAAATTTATTGCCAAAATTATCCCTGTTGAAAAGACTGCCAAAAATACAACTGCGTCGTATCATATTTTATTTTCAACTGCGTCGTATCATTTCGTAAAAATCATTATTTTCTTAGAAAATAAACATCTCTTTTTAATGAAATTATAGTAAATGATGCAAAATTATATTTCGAAGTTTATGGTATACTCTGAAACGAATATATAATTGATTTGAAGGAAAAAAAGATAGATAAAGCAAGATGAAATGCGTCGTATCCACACATTTTCATAAAAATTCTGCCCCGCTTCGAGTTGCAAGTTCGCTATAACTTTTGTTTTACAAAATAGTTGTGCAAGCAACATATACCGAACGAAGCGGAAAATAGTGTAGCGTGTTAATACATATATCTGGTTTTCAGTCATTTCCAACAAAAAGAGTTATAAACAAAAACATACATTTTTCGTTCCAAGATGGCGGCGTTTGTTTACATTTTGTAGGATACGACGCAGTTTTGATTCCCAGCCCTGGTAACTACGAGCTATACATTAAGCTGGTGTGACTTTTCAAAACTTAATATTTATTCTCGTAAATTCACGGACAGGACCGAAGTAAAATTGAATATTTCATTAATGTGTGTTGTAATCTATTCATAATTGACATGTCAATAAAAGCAGAGCATTTTGAGACATAGCCTCGACTACCATGTTAACGTTGGAGATAAGAAATTGAATACGTGACTGCATACATATATTACACTGATAACGATACTTGTTTTCTATGATAGCTAAAATGGAGGAAATACGCCAAAATATCAAGTGTAAAGATTTCATTGGAGTTTTATATGGATTTGTACATACGGGTAGAAAAACGGAATCTTACACACGAGAAAGACTTCGTTTACTACATCAAAAGATATACAGATTGTTGGCAGGTCTTCCACGTTGTCATGCAAAGTGCAGCTCTCTCCATAAGTTACAATTTAACAGGTACGTACACGTCTTATATTATTGTTCACATACATATACGAATTTTGTTACTACTTTCGCGGAATTGTTTATATACATAAAGCCTTACTAAATTAATCTCGATCCACCAAACTGTCCGCAATGAGGCAAAATTAAAATCGAAAGTAAATTTCAAGGTTAACATCAATGCTTTTCAGATAGCACCTATTCCCTTCCTTGACCAACATTTGGAGTCATTCCCAATATATTTTAATGTAAAAGGTAAGATGAAAATACATGTATCTCAATTCAATTATCTTCATGTAACCTGATAAAAATCTTATTCATGCTGGTGCTATAATAATAATTCCATTCACAGATAACTAAATTTGACAATTCATCTTAAATCGTATTTATATTACATAGGATATTGGCCCACAATATGGTAGTCGAGAGGTAAATATTGTAAAAATAAAGACCATAACTAACCACAGGTGGCAGTATATCAGTGTTTGGACCGCCCCCCCCCCCCTTTTCTGCCCCTGGACCCCTACTACAACCATGAAAAAAATTCAACACTCTAAGGCTTACTATAAAGTACCAAATACAAAACCACCGATGAAATTATATAAAAAAAAAAAATTTCCACTATCAAAATTATAGTTATAGAAAGGTGAAAAGCCTACTATATGTTCATTTGCCAAACAATGTGGAACACGGGAAATCGTCGTTTCGGCGACTGAGGCGCATTCCGAAGGCATTTTGTTGCATCATTCATTTACATCAATAAAAAGTACTTGAATTCCACAGCTTACTTAATTCAAGTTTAACGAATATCAATATTCTATCGATTTTTTCTATTTCACGGTAATTTTTGACTTGTCGCTGCCATTTTGGACTCTGATACCTGTGTGTTATACGCGATCTGATTAGACGTCAAATTTGGCTCGTCCAATCAGCTCGCGTATTTCAACCCAGGTATCAGACTGCAAAATGGCTACGACAATTCAAAAAATACCGTGAAACAGAAAAAATCGGAATGATAGTGATATTCGTTAGACTTGAAACAGATTAGCTGTGGAATTCTAGTTCTTTTTATTAATGTTAATGAATGATGCAGCGAAATCCTGCCGGACTGCGCCTCAGTCGCCGAGACGACGATTCCCGTGTTCCACATTGTTTGGCAAATGAACATATAGTAGGCTTTTCACCTTTCTATAACTATAATTTTGATAGTGGAAATTTTTTTTTTTATATATAATATCATCGGTGGTTTTGTATTTGGTACCTTATAGTAAGCCTTAGAGTGTTGAATTATTTTTTTCAGGGTTGTAGTAGGGGTCCAGGGGCAGATAGGGGTAGGTGTCCAAACACTGATACTGCCACCTGTGTAACTAACTACAATTACAATTTTGACGAGGCCCAAATCAGACTCGACCTAAATCAGACTCAACCTTACACAGATTCCGTCATAAAAGATGTTTTCATTTGTTATCAGGTCTCGACACTAACTTTTTCAGCAGGTGGTATGCCGGACCACTGAACCCAAAATTCAGGTGGTCCTTTCTGAACACAGGTGGTCCATGTATTTTTTTTTATTTCAATCTTAGATCAGATAGTAAGTCATTGTAATCCTATTTAGTATTTATTATCTCAGTGAAAAATACATGACAGTACTCATACTTCGGTTAAGTGACTTCTTCCGCAACTCAAGTTAGGGAAAAGTGAAACCATTTGTACGAAAGACCGTTGGGGACATTTCAACTTCATGAATTCCTGAATTCAGCTTCATGAATTCTCGATTTCAACTTCAAGAATTCACGATTTCAACTTTATGAATTCACGATTTCAACTTCACGAATTCACGATTTCAACTTCATGAAGTTGAAATCGTGAATTCGTGAAGTTGAAATCGTGAATTCGTGAAGTTGAAATCGTGAAGTCGAAATCATGAATTCACGAAGTTGAATTCGTGAAGTTGAAATCGTGAATTCATGAAGTTGAAATCATGAATTCGTGAAGTTGAAATCGTGAATTCATGAAGTTGAAATCGTGAATTCATGAAGTTGAAATTGTGAATTCACGAAGTTGAATTCGTGAAGTTGAAATCGTGAATTCATGAAGTTGAAATCGTGAATTCATGAAGTTGAAATCGTGAATTCGTGAAGTTGAAATCGTGAATTCATGAAGTTGAAATCGTGAATTCGTGAAGTTGAAGTCGTGAATTCATGAAGCTGAATCGTGAATTCCGTATTTTGAAAACGGGAATGCACGAAGTTTAAATTGTGAATTCATCAAGATGAAATCGGGAATTCATGAAGTTGAAATGGCCCTACCGGTCTTTCGTACATTTGTGAATGACTTATTTCCTTACTGTTATTCAAATACTCATTGCTGTTTCCTGTTACATTTTTTAAGAATAATAATTGCTTTTTATAGATTAACATTTTTAATTAAACTATTAAGTTATTATATTCTTGTCTTTGAAACAATGAAATATTAATGATAAACTGAAAAATTCCTACATTATAATTGAGCTTATCTTCCTCACAGATTTATTATACATGCTTGTTTGTTGAAATATATTTATGTTTGACAAAGTATTTATAACCTTTTAAAGTACTTTAAATAAGAAAAAAATGGATCTCTGATCGTTTAAAAAGTAGCCAAAGATTACTAGATATTTAATTTTTTCCTTTGCCTTGTTTGCACCATTATTCATGTGTTTATCCGATATCCCATAGTGATACAATGTTATAAATTCAATGGAGTACTAGAGACATTTGAATGAATTTTATACTTTAATTATTAAAATAATTTTCTTCTTTTTTTAACTACACTGTAAGCGAGTTAATAAAAAGTTATAGATGTCTTAAGATCTTTTGAACTAATGAGATGAATGAACATATACCTGTACAACGGAGAAATGGTTTTAAACAACAACTATAGAACACGTTTTTCGACCAAATAACCATTCTCCCAAATGAGCCCTGCACCATTTGGAAAATTCAAGTGGTCTAACGGACCAGTTGCCTGTAAAATTAGGTGGTCCTTGCCAAAATCAGGTGGTCTCGAACCAATGGACCACCGCTAATGTCGAGGCCTGGTTATCTAGAATATACAATATATGTGTTGCTAGAGAAAAAAAGTCCTCAATATTTGATGTATAAATTGCTTAAAATTGACAAATTAAAACGAAACTTACAAATCTGCTACGCCCTGTCTACCAGAATCACATGAGTGAACGAAAGCAGTCACGTGACCAATCACTAGCAGGTTTTAGAGGTATCATTGGCGTCCGCGCCGAAGCGCGACTCCCCTCATAGAATGAGAAAAGGCAATTGAAACTTCTCGGGCTTTTTAGTCGGTCATAACAGCCGATCATTCCGATTGGTATGAGAGTGTTTGATCTTTAAAAAAGAAATGTCGCAATATGAACAATGAATAGCGAACTGGAGAATTTCGAAATGCAAACATATTCAAATGAAATAATCTTTTCCGTCAATTAATCACGCTCTTCGGAACGGTCACTCGTGTGGCGCTATGGTAATAAATAACAAACTGGAGAATTTTGAAGGAAATGAAATGGAAACATATTCAAACAATTAATTGCATTCGTATAAATCTAGGCGTCCGCTGTGGGTTAGAATCTCGACAGGGACTTTGGATTCTTTCATGTGAGGAAGCTATCCAGCTAGTTTACGGAACGTTGGTGGTTCTACTCAGGTGTCCGTTCGTGCCTGAAATAATGCACGGAAGGGCACCTGAGGTCTTCCTACACCAGTAAAGCTGGAACGTCGCAATATGACCTATATTGTGTCGGTGTGACGTAAAACCGAAAAACAAAACAAAAGCATGAGGTTTCTGCACGGAAATAAATATTTTTTCCAGCGCACGCACTTCGTAATTTTGATGTAAAGTCTAAATAGTATTTCAAAGTAAATACAACATACAAAGATTCACTAATATAGTTTTATATGTATAATTCAATAAGGTGATTTCCATGGCGCGTTTGTTTAAGTAAATCATGAATACGAATTTTGATTGCAGTAGCTGAATTTTCAATATTACTAGTATCTAATGTGATACAGTGTAGAGTTTGCATTCTTTGACCAGTACTAACAATTCATAACTTAATAATCTAAGTGATAAACCCTCTAACGGAAATATTGATTGAAGATAACACAGAACAGTTTTATCATGGGATGTTCCCATGTACAATTGTATCTAGATAGAGATGGCCTTTTATCAGATATTCCTTTCATAAACTGCTTTATCAATATTTGGTTTCCAAATTATATGTTTGAAACTATATACACAGCACTAGAAATCGTATTGATAGCACTATAACCTGATTTGTTAGAAAACAGTTTTTTTTTAATTTGTTTTTTTATTGTTTTTGTGTTCATGAAGGCCATGAAACGACGATAATGTCGACAGTCTCGCCTGATATTCCTTTGGCTTGTAGGGCTTCCCGGATATTCTGAATAGCTCGAGTTTCATTTTGGTTAACGTGTGTGGCGGTTTTTGTTTTGGGAGTAATAACATTTTGTCCACATCCGGAAGGATGTATGAATGTTCCACAATCATATAAAAAGGTTTCAGAAACCACGGCTGTATTTTAAAAATCGGTGCCACCAGCACTCTCTCGCATTGACCTTGTTCCATCTTCTGTAACATTCTGTCAGACTTTGAAAGGCTTTGAATATGTATAAAAATAGATTTGTCCACGTAAATGAAAAAGCATCAATCACAAACGCATTAGGATCTGGTCCAAATTAGGTATACTTGTTGTCCCCCGCCTTTTCGAAAAAAGGGGGATAAAGAAATAGGCTCCGTCCGTCTGTCCGTCCGTCACACTTTCGTGTCCGGTCCATAACTTTGTCATTTATCAAAGGAATTTGAAATAACTTGGCACAGATGTTTGTTATAATAAGACGATGTGTCATACGCAACAACAAGACCCCTACCTCCAGGGTCAAGGTCGCACTTGCTCATTCAAGGTCAACATTGTCTTTTTAGCTCACCTGAGCTTGCTCAGGGTGAGCTATTAAGATCGGTGAATGTCCGTCGTCCGTCGTACGTCCACAATTGCTTGTGAACACACTAGTGGTCACACTTATGACTCAATCATCATCAAACTTTGTCTTGTTTAGTTAATTGCTCGGATGAGTTCGAAACTGGGTCATTTCGGATGGAAAACTAGGTCAAAGGAGCTAAAAATAGAAAAACCTTGTGAACACTCTAGTGGTCACATTTTTTACCCAATCATCATCAACCTTTGTCAGAATGCTTGTTTAGATTATTGCTTGGATGAGTTCGAACATGGGTCATCTCCGATGAAAATCAACTCTAGTGGCTGCAGTTTTGATCCAAATAATCTGGAAATTTGTCAGGAAGGTTGTTTTGATTATTTCTAAGTCAAGTTCGCATATGGGTCATCCTCCGGTCAAAAATGAAAAATCTGAAACAAAGTGATCCCTCGGAAGCATAAATCACAACACAATTACAAGAGAATTGCAGATTCGGTTTGATTGAGTGTACATGAGGAAAAAATGAATAAGTGCAACATCCCTCACGCCCCCTAGCGCCGGCTTGAGCGGTACTCAATTCTCAACACTTTAATAGTGCTGGCATCAATGATCCCGAAGGACCAGAAAAAAGTCACAGGAGCTAAAAATAATAAAAGCTTGTTAACACTCTAGTGGCTGCAGTTTTGATCCAAATATCCTGAATATTGGTCAGGAAGGTTGTTTTGGTGATTTGTTGGTCAAGTTTGAATATGGGTCATCTTCGGTCAAAAACTAGGTCACAGGAGCTAAAAATTGAAAAATCTTGTTAACACTCTAGTGGCTGCAGTTTTGATCCAAAATATTCTGAAAATTTGTCAGGAAAGTTGTTTTAATGATTTCTAGGTCAAGTTTGAATATGGGTCACATGGGGTCAAAAGCTTGGTCACACAGCCCAAATATGGAAAAAACCTTGTTAACACACTAAAGTTCACATTTTTGAATCCATTGTCATCAAACTTGGTCAGGGTGCAGACGGGTCAGAGGAGCGATCTAGGGCCATCATGGCCCTCTTGTTAAATCATTTTCCTGTATATCATTTGAATATTTTATTTTGCAAATCAGTTGTCTTGAAGTGTATGTTGAATTAAGTCTTTGGTATATGTCTTGAGGACTCTTGAAATGCACTGTGGGCACCTGAGGTCGTCCTCAAACTGTAAAGCTGGAAATTCGCCATTCGATTTCTACGTTACCACCCACACCCCTCCCCTACAAAAAACCAAAACAGAGTATAAATCTGAAGCACAGAAAATTCCAAATATAATTCTAAGATATATTCGATAGTTTGTAACAAATGTTGTTGTTGTTTTTTTCTTGTTTGTGGGACGATCTCTATCTGATATACTCCATGTTTAGGTCTATTAATGTGAATAATTCGGCTCAACTTAGTTCTTCCAGTGTTCCGTAAATGTTCAGCATGGTAAAAACGTTCACGTTCAACTGCTGTGTTTTCTTGTCTCATGTCTACACAAATTCTTATGTCTCAATTGCTTTTAGAAATAATTTCGCGGGGTGGCACCAAGGTGTATTACCTTCAACTTGTTTTATGACATCAGAGTCTAGTAGTTAGTTTTATTTTTCCTCAGATGTGTTGCCGCATTTTAAAAGGTGACAATCTAACAGTCCAACGGGCTTAACATCTTTGTGATATGTATATGTAGCTGGAAATCTTTGAGTTTCCCAATACTTGAAATCGATCATTAAACTCATTTTTATTTGTTTGGGTCGTCAGACCAAACAAATAATGGTAGCGAAATTTCAGAGTCTAATGTTGTTAATTGCAAATGCCGAAAGTAGTCCACTTTTTTGAAGCGGTTACTTCCCTTTATATGTAACACTAACGCCGAAAAATTCAGGGGAGATCACTGCGTAAAGATGGTCAAAGACAGGCACATCTATATTCAAGCAAAATAATTCCCGAATGGTCGAATATTTCTAATATTGTTTTATTGTATTTTCTGATCGAAAATAAGTAAATACAATACAAAAACATTCAATCTCTGACACAGAAGTTTATGACAAACCTAACAACAAGTAGTTCTCAAAACAGCTTTAAACTAGCGATTTAAAAGAAAGAAATATTTTTATTTTGTTACAAGTATCCAACAAATTACAACGCATTAAAAGTTTAAAAATAGCGTTGGCTTATAGAATTGTCAATAAATGCACAATCACAAATTACGCGGATGAATATGATTTTATCAATGAAATACTATTTTTAGCAATGTCGGTTACCGAATACTACACAAACCGAGTAGTGGAATATATAGATTCTACATGTCGGACTGTTTGGGCGAGAAGATTTTCGCTAAAATTATTTTACTTCAATTTTAAACAACAGGTTTATCCTAAACAAATATCTCGAAATTAATAAGGATTACAAACCCGAAATGCAATGGAAGTTCTCAATTTAGAATGACTTGATGTTATTCACTCATTATTTGTATAACTTCTCCGTGGTACAGGGGTAACGCGCTCGCTTAGTGAGTGAGAGGTCTGGAATTCAAATCCCAGTAGAGTAAACTTTTTTTTTTAATTCTTTTTTAAGTGTCATGATATGCAAGGATAAAGTGTGGCTGTCGTAAAAAATGAACATAAATGATTTATTGATGCAACTCTAGTTATGTAGAATTCCGTATGTATCAAACTCTGGTGCCTAGCAAAATGAATTATAATACATAAAAATAAACTTATACAGGAAAATACATACAGATATACAGTACGATTTAGATTGCAAAGATCAGAAAATACCACAGAACTTGCAGCCCTTTGATTCTTTATAAATATACATGCTTATAGTAAGCTCCAGGATTATTTACATCTGTGTTAAACAACAGTTAAAGTCGTCACAAGCCCTAATTAGATCGAACAATATGGTTTTCTTCAGGCCGTTCACATATAAATTCACCGTGGCTGAAGGGTTTTCACGCTCGCTTAGGAAGCGAGAGGCCTGGAGTTCAAATCACAGTAAAGGCAACTCATTTTTTTTTCAAACTGTTTAAGTCAAATAAACATTGGATTGAATATCAGTGTTGCAATCAGTCTTATAGCCAATTTACTACAATTAAAACGCTGGAAAGCATTGGTGAGACCCAAACAAATTCAGCGCCTTCTGTGCTTTGATTTTTATTTGGATTTGTTTCAACATGTTTTATATAAAACATAGATAATCCTGGATGAACACTGAAGTTTGCTGTCATAAAAGTGGTTTAAATTCTATATCATGATGTGAAACGTTATTTTTGTTTTTATAAGCCAAGAAAAAACTGGTTATTGGATTGAGGTATGTCGGCGGGCGGGCGTAAACAAGTTCTTCCGAGCACAACTCCTCATACATTTCACAGAAGCTTTGTCAACAAGTGCCCTGGCGCATGTTGTCGGGGTTTTGTGATTTGATAATATTTGACCTAATTATGCCCCCTCCTTGTTTTCTTATTTAGAATATATAGTGATCAATTTCTTTTGTGCGACACTACTCCTACATTTCTGAAGGAATTTTGACCAAACTTTCACAGAAGCTTTGCTATCAAGTGCCCTGGGACACATTATCGAGGTTTATGATTTGATAATTTTCGACCGAATTATGGTCCGTTTTTTCCTTTTATGGACTATATAGTAAACAATTCCTTCTGTGCGCAACTTCTTCTTTAATTCTCAACGAATACGATATTTCAATTAAACTTGATGTATAGCAAGCTTATGACAAGACCTTGCTTTGGATTGCTTTTGGGCCCCTTTGGGTTAAGGTCATTGTTACTAAAAATAGAAAATCAGTATTGCAAGTTTATGTAAAGCCTCGCTTACGATTGTTTTTGGGCCTGATGGGTCAATGTCACTGTTACTAAAAATGGGAAATCAGTTCATGATCAATAACTAGAATTTGAAATGAAATATTTCAATGAAACTTGGTGTAAAGCAAGGTTATATAAAGACTTTGCTTAAGATTGAGTTTAGGTCAAGGTCACTGTTACTAAAAATATAAAATCGGTTTCCAGTCAGTAACTAAAGTTACTTGAATGAGATATTTCAATGAAACTTATTGTATAGAAAAAGCTGATGTGAAGATTTTGCTTAGAAATGCTTTTGGGTTCCCTATGATCAATAAAAGGTCACACTTACTAGAAATACAAAATTTGTTTCAGGTCTATAACTTGGTAAAGGAATGAGATTTTAATTCCACTTGAATATTATTTCTACAGTATTTGAAAACTTCAATTAGAACTGCTTTTTAACCCCATAGGGTTATTGCCATTGTTTTAATACCCTAGTTAAACTGTGCATTTATATTCCAATGACAACAGGGCATTCAACAGTGGTGGTAATTGAAAACCTGGTTTCGTGGCTTTTTTTTCATGTAGATTTTTTCTCAAAGGTTTAACGATTTAGACAATCGACCTTCATTGACCTTTTTTAAGTCATTTTTTATGTGAACTTAGGTTAATGTTTTAGAAATGTTGTAGACTAGTTGTTATCATATTAATAGACTATGTCAAACAAATTCTTTCTTCAGATGGTGTGAAACTTGCTCAAAGTGGAAAAAAGAACTGTCGAGTGTAAATAGATCAAGGAATGTAAATTGGGAGAAAACGGAATCATGGAAATGGCCTGACTCGTATGAAAACATTGTCGAAGTATTCCTGCCGGGTGACTGGACAAAAAACAATCCCGCACAGCTTTCAGATATATCAACACAGTGTCATATTTGGCTGCAATGTAGAGAATTTCACCTGAATGAAACTATAGTAAAAAACGTTCGAGCTGCAAGAAACGAAACATATCATAATATCAGTTTTGAAGCCAGTGATATTGAAAAGGCCAAAGCTTTTGATGCTTTAAAAGATTTGATCAAAGATAAAGACATCGCAAACGACATTAATGTGAATGAATATTTAAGCAAACTGGATGATATTTATATGGATGATTTATTCTCTTCCATTGACAAATCTATACTTGAGGAAATAACAGCTGTGTATCATGAAAAGCAAATTTCATTGGAACGCAAAATTAGTAAAATATGTGACCACTTAGAAGCTATAGAGGAGGAAACCAGATATTTTAGTAGGGTGTTAGGCAGACTTGCATGGAAAATTCAACCAAACAATTCGAAGTTTTGGAAAGCAACATATTGTTTAACACTTGCACATTTGTTTGTACTTTTAGGATGGAATTATTTTGTACCGAACCATGAATCGTTTACAGGGTATCATTCTCAAGGTCTAGGTAAGAATATTCAATTAACTGACGCTTACTGTTTTAGTAAATAATAGTATAGCAAATAAGCACATACTTTATGATTGCTAATAACCATCTCAAGGGTGTAATATGATACACCTTTGAAGTTGTTTTATGCTTCAATTCTAAGAATGCTTTAATATATTGGTTGGTCCGCCGTTCTTCCGTTAGACTAGACCTTATTTAAAAAATGATGGAGTTGGCATGACGTGTAAGTATAATATCTGATGATTAATATGTCAAAGGCAAGGTTAAGTCATCGTAATATAAACATCTACTGTTGTCTTACCAATCATAAAATAATGCGTTGACCTTCAGGTAAAATAAGGCAATTAGGAGATTAGACACGACAATTAGATACCTTGCATTTACTTTTTTTGTTCAGTACAACCGAGATAAAGGCAATAAAACACTTGACACAGCACATCCTTTGAGAGTAAGGATTTTACAGGTTGAAGGACAATATGTTAAAACCTTGCTACAAAAGTTTACACGACAAAAGCCGATTTACAGTTATCAAATTATGTAGTATGGATGGTTAAATGTCTCACAGGGTCATGCATGTGTCTAGCTATTCGCAAGACAAGATAGAGGTACAAGCAAATATGTTGAAAATAAGTACTGAAAAATTATCATAATATATTAAAGTTCTGGCCTAGGATTTATCGAAACGTTTCCGATTTCGTAATGTAATTGTTGACTTTTACTTTTTGCAGACGGATGTGTCGATGAAAACTATAGTTTGCCGTGGATGCAAGATTTACCGTTACTAGAGTACGTACGAGACACTAACACTTTAGTTGGGAGAGAGTGGTTGTTTGAAATATTAGATAGAAAACTTTTACAAGACGAATCATCTGGAAGCGGAATAGTCTCTGTTGCAGAATTCGGGTACGGAAAGTCAGCCATAGTTTCCCATTTGCTTTGCGCCAGACATTGTGAAAAGGGAAGACCTTTGAGGGAACAGATAGCTGCGTTTCACATATGTAAATACGATGTTTCTAGCACGCAGTCACCCGAGAGGTTTATCAGGCGTTTAGTAGGTTTTTTTGCAATGAGAATTCCGGAATACGGCAATATTGTTTCCATGATGTCCAGTTCCTCTATTTTATATGACAATGAAAAATGCGCTAAGGAACAAGATGCGTGCTTTGACCAGGCGTTTAGAATTCCATTTAAAAATATGACATCAGAATATTCTACAAAGATTGTGGTAATAGACGCTCTTGATGAATGTTTTCACTTAACAAAAAACGAAAATTTTATTTTGAATTTGATATCGACACGACTACGATATTTTCCAAAGTGGGTCAAATTTCTCATAACAAGTAGAGACATAATGCAACTGAAGTCTTTAAAAAAATTAGAGAGATTAAATCTTTTAGCTAACGATTCGAACAATATTGAAGATATCAAAAAGTATATTGAAATAATTTACAATGAAAAGTCACGATTCTTTTATTCGGATATAAAACAGAAAATAATGGAAAGTGGTGAAGGCAATTTCCTTTACATTGTTCATGCACTGCAATATGTGCAGAGTCCTGATTTTAATGGCAAATTGCCTGAGCTACCATTTTCATTGGAGGATATATATGAACTTAACTTTGATCGACAATTTCAAGGAGGTGATACCTACAGCATTGCCAGACTTATTCTCGAAATTATTTGTACAAGTTTAACACCACAAAATAAAAACGATATATATGACATACTAATAAATAGTGAGGCAATAAACTTATCATATATAGATTTTGAACGGGAATTTGAACAACTTTCTTACTTTATAAAGGCCGAAGATGGCGTTATTTTACGCCACAAAGCAATACACAGTTGGTTAGTTAATTCAGCCTCTAGCAGATATAAAGTTTCCCTGACAAAAGGGCATGAGCTAATTTCAAAACATTTACTTAGAACGGTGAAGAACAACGGCACTGGTGATATTATTGCGCTGGTAATTCATCTAAGTAGCTCCAAAAGTGTGGCTCTGCGAAAGACATTTCGTTCATTTAATATGAATAAAGTTATGACTTTCAAAGAGAAGGAAGTTTTACACAATCTTATAAGTAAGACCGAGTCTGAAGAAGCGCTTGATTTACTTCTTTTTCACCATTCCAAAGTTGATATAACAGATGAAAATGGGGTTAGTCCAGCATTTCTAGCAGCAGCGAAAGGGCATCTTAAACAGCTGAAATTATTGCTGCGTAAAGGAGCAAACTGTAATTTTGTAGTGAACCCTTGTAGAAAGTGTAATACAAAGTTATTTTTGCGCGATTTTAAAAAAGATATAGAAGAGATAAAAACAGTTTTCTACTCTGGTTATGGACTACTTCACATAGCAGTGCAGCATAGATCTACAGACATTGCAAGATATTTAATTGAAGAGACAAGCATTTCTTTAAATCATGAAAACGTTATTGGACAGCGACCAATTGATATAACTTGTGAGTTAGGTAATATTGAAATATTGAAAATATTCATGTCTAGAAAATCAAATATTATCGACGACAAGTGTTTGTATTTTGCGACCAGAAATTCACATTTAAACATCGTTAAACAAATTCTAGACTTAGGATTTGAACCGAGTTGCATATCCAACAAAACTGCTAAAAGAGAATTAGGTAAAATAATGAAACCGTGTAATTGCGACGATTCGGATGATTTAGACACTTTGATAAAACCTTTGGACACATGGTGGATTGTTTTGCGAGAAACTTCACTTCATTATGCGATTCGGTCTGGTTATTCACCTATCGCAGAATATATTGCAAAAAAGACAAAGCGTTTAGTGGAGTGTGTTGATTCATATGGCTATACACCTTTCTTACTTGCGATCAAGCATGGAAGATACCAGCTAACTAATGTCATGAAAGAAAGAGCAAATAAAGATAACTGCTCTTCCTCAGCTTCATTTATATCTCATGAGATCACCAGCTCAGGTACTATTATTCAAGAGAAGGGTGAAGATATTTGTCAAGAAGGTACAGTATTTGCTCATTTAATTGCAAAATATAACCGAGTTAAAATGATTGACATTTTTGAAAATGACGTCTCTCTGAAATGGGATATAGCAGATAGTTCTGGCAATAAGCCAATACACTATGCAGCTAGTCACAGTAGTACGGATTTTATCAAGTTCATGTCCTGGAAATTTGGAAGGACTGCTTTTGAGGAAGAATCAAAAAATAAATCAACGGCTTATCATTCTGCAGCAATAAGCTGTTCAGAGGTGAGTTTAAGGGCACTTACTAATGCATTTAGTGATGATATAATAGATTTTAAAGATAATGGCAATAGGAGCGTACTGCATTATGCTCTCATGTGCGAGGCTAAGAAGTGGTCGTACTTTCCTCAAAATAATCTAACCCTACCTTGTCAAACATATTTACTTAAGCTAACAAATGTATCACATGTTGATACCAATGGGCAAAATTTACTACATTATATTTTGAGGTTTGGGCACGAAAAACTTCTTCATTATCTTCAGGTTAAACATCCGAAGAAGTACAAACAAATGCTTCATTCAAAAGATCGATTTAAGTTGACTCCAGTCGAATACACTTTATATTATGCACCAAATGTTGAGAGTTTGTTCTCATCTACTGTTTTAAATCAATTCAAAAATGAAAGCGTAAACACGCAGTCAGAGGAAATACAGCGGTCGTTAATACCATGGGAAAAATGTTTAATTAACATTCAAAAATTATTTACGCAGGAGGAGACCAACGAACTTCTTTTGCAACACTTCAATATCATTCTTGTTAAAAGTCCGCTTTTGTCGAAAGCCCTTTTGCTGAATCGTGTTTTTGCGAATACCTCGCTAATTGAGGCCGCAAATATTAAGTGGCATATAATACGTAGTATGTTTTTGGCAAAACAGTTCAATCGTGAGAACATTCTTAAACAATCATTGAAGATAATTTCAAAAGACAATCCCACGCTCCTCTTCAGTTGTGGGCAACCTTTAAATCGTTCTCCTTTGCATTATATGGCGTTCTCTGCTCCTTGGACTTACGATGACACGTTGTTTGATGTTATTAATGATTCCTTTGCTGTAGCAAGGAGCATTAAGGATTTGAACTGCAGTACCAGCGATGGATTTAACCTTCTTCACTACTCTATTATTGGTGGTTTTATAAACCTAACGGATTTTTTAATGGAAAAGAAATTATCAGTAGTTACTGAAAATGTTTCTGTTGTTGATGTACTTTATATGACTGTGTTTGCGAAGTTTAAATCAGATATATCCAGTGATAATTCGGTTACGTATTCACTCCTTGATATATTTTTATCAGACTTCATTAGAAACCGAACATCGGATTTAAAGGCAAATGTCTTCTGTAGTAATCTTTCCAAGAGTTTGTCTTTAGTGCATTTCTTCGCAATTAACGGGATGGCAAGAACAATAGAAACAGTAAAGAATTTATTTGGAAGTGAAATAACTCGATGTCAGAACGTTCATAATTTTACTGCAATGTTTTTTGCCGAATTGTTTGGCAGAACATCGGTCGAAACTTCATTACTAAATGAAAAGTCTTTCATTTTCCCTGAGAGAAGTGCTGTAGAATTTCTTTTACTCAATATATTTAATAACTTTCCTCAAATGAGGAAACAGAATCCTTTCCGTTGCATTACTTCAAGGGGAATGATAACCATACGTAATAGAGCACTTATTAAAAACTATCAATGTCTAAAAGGGTTTTATAATATGTATTTTTTGACTGTTAACGATTTCTTTATTCATAATCTCTTGTTTGCAAGAGAAGGCTTACACTTAACTGAAAAACTTATGCTACAGTACATAGAGATAAAAAAGTTGTTCTATGCCTCTTTAAAAAGTGAAATTAGATCGAGCTGTAGCAGATTTACCCGTTGTCTGAGTGAAATAATAGAGATACTTAATGAACTAAAACTTTGGAGCGGTATAAGTAATGGGTATCTTTCCTGGCAAAGTGAGTATGATTTTCTGAAAAATATATACAATGCATTAAAATTACCCTTCGATAAAAGTATGATTTCATTAGTACAAGATGGTATGAACAATGGTTGTTCAACTTATAATTTTCGACATATTTGGAATACAATGCAATATCTGGAAAGATCTCTTAGGACAGTAGTTCAGAATGTTCAAGATATTACAATTTTGGTGGCGCTTTTGGACCAAAAAGATTTTATAAGAATTCAAAGTATGCCATTTGGGTTTAATGGTTTACAGCCGCATTTTCAAGACTTTGTGTGTGGATATAGATTTTCCTTATGTCATGGATGCCCATTAGGTTTGTTGAAGGGAGCAGTAAATAACATAAATCGTTTTCGGTACCTAAACGTTATTAAATCAACTACTACATACAAACATATTGACGGAGTGAGACCTAGAAGTGGTCCAATTTTTATGACCAAATCTGAAGTTACGAAGCTAGAAAAGAAACGGAAATTCATATACAAAATGATGCACAAAACAAAGGAAAGACAGAAGTGGCTATTAGCAAACTTCAAAAGTGAAAGAAATGGGATCTGTAAGAGCCAAGCTAGCAATGAAAGATATGAAAAGAGTTTGTTATATAATATTAGGATACCATTGATTTGAAATTTCTAAAGTAAAATGGGAAGTTTTAGAGAAGTTTTATTTCTATCTCGTATTTAGATTTCTTTTTGTATAATACAAGTAATAACATTGTAGTTTGTTACGACTAGTGTTTCATGAGAATGATATACATTTCGTTATATGTTGTCATAGCAATCAAACATAAATAACTGCATTTCAGTTTGCGGATTTTGTTTTTGATGTGTGTGCGTTTGCGTGTGCGTGCATGTGTGTGTGCGTGCGTATGAGTGGTGTTAGTATTTGTAAAAATATTGTCTATATCAAAGATACTATAAGGTCCAAAGTCTTTCCCCGGAAGTACTTTAAAAGAAAACTATTCTCAATTAAAATCATAATTCAAAGTTTATATACAATATTAAGAAGATGAAGCAGTGAAAAAAAGATAAAAAAGATAAATATACAGCAAATATCATCTAGAAGTTAATCACGAAGGCGATCATTACGAATTATCTCGAGGCCCGATTGGATTTAATCAGTTCGCTCCAATCTGTATAATTTACCCAATTGTTTCTAGAATGACGACAAAAATAATACGCTCTGCTTTTTAAACCTACTTGTTTGTTTATAAACAAAAATAAATTATTTAATGGAGAGCAAAGTCGGTATTCAAGTTTAAATTAGCTTCCGCGGTGATGTAATCGGCTTATTCCTTGGTCTTATGCTGAATCAGTTTATACATTAGGAAAAATGAGTACAGATTGTACTTAATATTTAGTTTCTATTTAAATCACAATTGAAAACATTTTGCAATTACAGTTGATTTATAATTTAGTTAAATTACTTCATCGTTAATGCAATTCTTTTACAAAATAGAGGGTTAATGTACCTCTTTTCGTGCATTAACATCTTCAGCATTTGAATCGAGATTCGGCAGGTCAGTGTCTGATTAGGTAATTCCGATATTTCGTCATTGTTACCATATTTTCCAAAATCGTGCTATATATCTGTTTATCGGGATACGAAAAAATAGAGTAAAAAAGAATCCCTAAAGAAAGTCCAACACAACAAAATTGAAAATGTTTCAGGCTCGGTTTGATTGAGCCTGTTCATTGGTCATCGAATGCAACGTTACGGAAACCTTAGATTATCTGTATGAATTTATTCATGTGTAACTAAGTATTGCTTATAAATGTAATGCTTGCTACCAAACTTATCGCTACGTTTGCGTCACCTAATCTGAGCAAGATAAGAAACTGCAGCGAGGAGTTTGCTTTTCCATGTAACGTAAGACATCGAGAATGAGTCGACGTGTATTTATTTCTACTCAGTCTTTTAAAGTCATGTAGACATAACTCACAAGTTTTGAAAAATTATTGGTAATGTGTAGACTTAAAATCAATGTCTAAATTGATGTAATTTACAATTATAAAGTTATATATTTATTTCTTTTTGTATATAGATTTCTTTTTTAGAATTGTAATATTTTCATTTGTAATCACTTATGTTTCATATACATTTTGTTATCACAATAAATCTTGAAAAAAAACTGTGTTTAAGTTTGTGAATTTGTTATTTGTTTGTTATTTGTTTTGTTGCTTTTTATTGTTGTTTTATTTTTTTTTTGTTAATTTGTAAAAACATTGTCTATATCAAAGATGATTAGTTAGTATTGGGGTTATTTAATACGATTGTCTTAAAAATGTAATTGTCAGTTTACTTAACAAAGGACTTTGTGAATATTTACGTATAAGTAATTTATGTATATTGTTCGCCAGTTAGTATGAAAAACATGCCAAAAATGATCAAGGTTTCCTTTACTATTTTTATTACTGGTGTCATTTACTAAATGGTTAATGTCAGTCAACAGCAAGTCTATATGACAAATTGATTGCCTGTGTTTGTAGTTTCTTGAATATATATATCCTGTAATATTATTTTAGTTTTTCTTCAGTTTAATTGTACACACGACTATACATAGCGTATTAAACTTTACTAAATTTGAGAAAAAACCCTTTGTTTATAATAATGCTACACATATAGGTTGTTGTTATGATACTGTCGTTTATTATTCAATCACCGATGTTCCATTAGATAGCTTGATAGTACATTACATACACGTTCCAAACACACCCTCGTTTCTGAAAATTACATTAAATTCAAGTGTATTTTTGTCAGTATGCATGTTATTAAACGTTTATAATTCTGTTAGAAACTTGTTTAGAATTTAATGTTGTTTTTTTTTCCGGGAAAATGATGGTTTAGTTGTACTTAATTAACATTAGATCAAAGAGAAGAAGGCACTGAAAAAAAGACGGTAAGGGACTTTAGGTTACACATTTTCACTCCCGTGTTACTGGTAAATGAATCGTATATGTCAGGGTTTACGTTTTAACATACGGTATTGCTATGCTTTTTGAGATTTCTACTCTTGAAAATAATCAAAAACGAGTAAAATAAAGTCACTTTTAGGGGTAAAAAACTTAATAAGTATAGTGACCCCCGATATTTCTTTTATAAATTTGCTTTAATATACTATATTCTAATCTATTCTATTCAAATATTAAGAAAATTATGTGTGGTGCTTTAAATTTTCCTGGGTATAAATACGAAGGTGCGTCATCTTTCAGTTAAAGGAAGAAAATACCAGTCTATACATATGATCATGGAAAAATCATGTTTTGTGAACCTAGTACATGCAAATCTGCCGATGAAGATTTTGCTAACAATCTGGTGTACCTCTCTTTAATGTTTACACTAAGCATTAAATTCAAAGGAAATTTCTTAGGGAACCTTTAACGTTTAATTACGGTCGAAATACTTATGAATTAACTGTAATACCTGAAACTGTGATATATTTCGTTCATGTGTTTACAATACAAGAGTAAGTAGCTCTTGAAATTGTAAAAAAATCATGTATTGCCGAAACAATTTACTAATGATTTTATAATTATCACTATCTTATAAATATTTGAATTACGAGTACCACGCGCCATATCTCAGCAACATATATCAGATTATTAAAAAACAAAAACAAAGATCAACAAGGAATGTGGCATTCAATGAACGCAACCCCACGCGACCCAGCAACACAGGAACACCGGCAAGCAGCAAAGTTATCTAATGAAAAATTCACTTTGGCTTTCAAGTGGTCAATAACAGAAAAGAAGTGATAAAAGTAGGGATTTTTCAAGACAGACAAAGAAGCGATTTCAATATAATAGGAAAAGTATCTCTTCTAAACTTATTTATGCAAACAATTGCACCAAGATCAATATGTATCCATAGCATTTTTGAAACCAAATATGTATCCATAGCATTTTTGAAACCAATCACCAGTGCCTTAACCAGAGATCACAACAAAATAGTCGGGCGATGTGAAAGAGTCATGATAACTGCTTCACTTTCATACTTTTTAAGATCGAGCTAAAAATTGTAAAGTGAACTTTGCAAGAACAATATTGTACCTTACATTACTAGTAATTCAAATTGACACAGTAAGTTATTCAGTCAGTGATTTCTAAACTATATGTTAGTGTATTTTTAGAAGAAGATTTCTTATTCTTCATTATATTAAAGCTATAAATGTGTTGGTTGCTATAAAAGAAAGCATATATACTTTTCAGAAATCCTCACTTCATAGTTACATTGTATTTTAGAGTGACCAATGAGATTCACTGATTTTAATATTACCAATGAAACTTCTTCTTAAATTCAGTTCGTCCCTGTTAATTTTAAAAGAAGTCAAACTGATTACAGATGGACTTCGTCCGAAAAATTTATAGTGTATGTATGTCAATTTCCAACTCCATACGTTTAGACAAATTCATCGGCAAAACCAAATGTGCTAGTCGCATTGATTTGACCTAAAATATATTTAATCTTGTTATTCATGTAATATTATATCCATACTTTAAAAAAAAATTTTTGTTATATTGTTACAGACAAGGTTTGCAACATCCGAGGACGAACAGTTTGGGTATGCCCGTTCTCAGTGTCAAAATTTTCCACCGGGTCGTAATATCATCGGATTTTTGCATAACACTATAACAAAACTATAAAAAAAATCTATTTAATTTTTTTTAATGTATGGATGTAATTTTATATGGGGTTAACTTAACCCCGCGTATAATATTTAATAAATTTTTATTTGGGGATTATCGTACAGTCATTCAAATTAAAAAAAGTTTCAGTTTTTAGCTATTTTAATAGAATATATCGTTAGATCGAGTCCCGTTCTCTATAAGTTTGCAAAATGGACTTGTCCAACTTAAGGCGTATATCAGAATCAATTAAGATAAACCAATTAAAAAAATAGAATCTATATCGATTAGGATTAAATAAAAGCAGCTGACCTTCTCAAGTAATATATATAAAGGACAGCCTACTTCTATACTAATGGTTTATGTCTGCTTATCTATTCGAAGCATGAACTGTGATGCGAAATATATATAAACTTAATTAACATTGAATGCCATGTTAATTAATAAATTTAAAAACGCAGTTTGCCCGATAGATTGTGGTTTCGAGCTCGATCGGTTCTAGATCAATCTTGTCACATGCTGGATGCTTCAGTCACGGAATTCATCGCCGTTTTTGGCAACAAAAATTTATTAAATAACCATTATTAGTTAACATATATAGATCTACATGTACAGTATACTTATCATTATATATTTGTATACAAGTAATAGTATATTTTTCCAATAAGTCTAGTAATATATGACAGAGTCGTTTTCGAGTTATTTTATTTATTTTTGTAGAGAAATAAAAAATCTACATATTTTCCCTTTGTTAACTTCAATAGTATAAGCAATTTTGTATACCATGGACTATGATGACGTTAAAGGGATCGCGGGGTCATAATATGTATACATAATTATTTCAAACTTATCATTAAATAAGCACTTATCAGTAGATTGATATAATGATCTAAATAAATACATGATTTGAAAAGCCGCTACCTGCATTTTACGATGTTAAATCGCGGCTTTTTAAAACACACTTCGCTGCTGATTGTAATAAATATTATCCCATCTAACTGGTATAATATAAAAAAGTAATAGCGGATGAAACAATTATATAGTTTGTTTATGTCATCATGAAGAAATGCATAATAGAATGGGTATTTGCTAATGGAATGCATCATCATGAAAATCTTGCATTACAGATAGTGGAGGATATAGGGGTAATCCAGACCCAGATAATAAATATGATGATCA